GGGCTTTAAAAATTTATAAAACGTTAAAGATGATGAAAAAGAAACCATGCTCAAAACCCAAGTGTTGGTGGTGGTGCTGTGTACCGTCAAGTTGGAATCCACCCATAGCTACCCTCCAGCAGATTTTCAAAGGCAGTCAATCGCACAAGAGGAGACTGCCCATCGTGCTTCTGCAGAGCCACTAGTGGATTCAAACCAAGTGCCTTCAGGATTGCAGCAGAGGTTCTTGTCACTACACCACTAGAGCTTCTCAATGGTTAGATGATAACATGGAAATCACGTTACAGCAAGAAAAAGAGAAAGGTCTAGGTTTTATTAGCCTGGAAAAGAGGAAAACTTGGCTAGGAGGAGGAAACGTGTGTTCTAAAATAAGTATGACTTATTTTATAACTTTAAAGCAGAACTAAACCCAAGTAGTAAAGTTCCAAGAAAGTTGTTTTCACATAAATAAAAGAACTCTGAGGAACTCTGCCCAAAAGTACTGCCTCAGGAGTTGGTGAGAGCCCCGATGCAGGTGCTCATTATAGGATCTAGGATCATCTTGCAGAAAACTAGTTTAAGGAATTCCCCTTCTAAGTACATGAGAACCGACAGTCACAAGGCATAAGAAATTTTACAATTAGCTGACTATATCTTGCTCGGATACTCAGTGACTAGTACAACCTTAAAGAGATTTCCAGAAACATTCAAATTATGGTATGTTGTTTGCTATCCAGTCAATTCCATCCCTATTCTCATATTAAGTAAGTCAGACAAATCAACTTTCCCTTCAACTTGTTGTTGTTGAGTGCAGTCAAGCCAGGGCAAGTACGACTCATAGTGACCCTATAAACAACAGATCTGAACTCTGTACTATTCTGTGCCATACTGACAATCTCTGACATACTCAAGCCCTGCACGCATTGCTGCAGTTACTGTGCCAATCCATCTGGTTGGCAGTCTTCCTCTCATTCACTTTCCCTCCACCTTTCCAAGCATGATGTCCCTCCCCAGTGAACAGCCTCTCCTAGCAACCCCAAAGTATGAGATGAAGAGCTTCATCATCTTTGCCTCCAAGGAACACTCTGACTGCACCTTCTCCAAGACCTATCTGTTCTACTGGCAGTCCGTGGGATAGTTGGCACTCTTCTTCAACAATTTGATGCTCTTTTAAAGCATCAATTCTTCTGTCATCCTTATTCAATGTCCAGCTCTCAGATGCATAGAAAGTGACTCAAAAGACCACGGCCTGAATCAGGTGCACCTTAGGCTCAAATGGACAACAATGCTTCTCAATAGTTTGTAGAGGTCCTTGACTACTGACATTCCCAGTGCATTATGTCTCCTGATCTCCTGATTGCTAATACCATGAACACTGATTGTGAATCCAAGTAAGATAAAGTCGTTGACCATTCAATATTTTCTCCAACATACTGTTGCCTACCAGTACCGTGGCTAGGATTTTTGTTTTCTTCACTTTGAGGTTATTCAAATAATGACTTCACAACAGTAAAACTTGGTTCAAAATTCAGAAACTTAGTTTAATTTAAACTCAGTCTAGAATGCTGCTGTTACATGCCACCAAGTTGAGGCCAACTCATAGCTCACCCATCCTTCAAGCAGGTTTTCAGAGGACGTATATTACATGCGAAGAGACTGCCTATCTTTCTTTTAAGGAGGAACCAGTAGATTCAAACCCCTTACTTTTAAACTGGCAGCACAACTTTCTAACCACTAGACCACTTGAGCTCCCAAGCCTTTATTTGCTAAAGACAATTTTCTTTTTCAAACACGTTTATATTAAACATGTAAGAATTTTAGTGGGGTTTTTTTTCTTACTATTTAAAAACTCTGCTAAAGCTTCTTTCCAGACTGGGCTACTGCTTTCTAGCTATACCTCATGAGCCTGATAAAGTAAGTTTAATATCAGAGTATTTCTGTGGGTTTAGATGCGGAGTTCTACTTTTACGGATTTTCTTTTCCACGGGTTAAAATGCTGGTTTTCTAAGCTAATGAATTGGGATAGCTGCAGTACTACCTAGAATACTTTTGAATGACAATTTTGAAGAGATTAAAGTAAACTACCAGTGAGTTAGAGCAGCAGAGAGCTCCACAAGACATATCAGGTTAGAAAACTGCTTTGGAATCTGCCACTTGAGAATGTGTTAACTTAGAAAATCATTACATTTCTCTGAACATCTGTCACTCTTTTATCTTAAACAGAGAAGAGAGATCAACAAACAGTTGAAGTAAGGCCTGCATAGAAAGAGATATGAGAAAAGCATGACTCTTAAAAGAGTCAGGAAGACTAGAATCTGGCAATCATACACAAACTACCTTGAACAAGTCTCCTACCCTCTGGAAGATTCCATTTCTTCTTCTGATAAATAAGAATGGCCCAAACAGCAAAGTGAATAAAAAGTGCACAGGTACCCTGTTAAAAGGTAGATATTACAAATATTTCACAAACTGGTAATAGGCTTAAAGAAGATGTTACTAGGTTTTTCAGCTAATAACAGTACAGAGATTTTATCCCTAGTCTCCAATTACAGATATAAGCTACTCACTGTACCTATTTATTTATTCATGGGAAGTAAATATGTTTAAGTCTTCTAATTTACTATACATTTCTATACAAGCATAAAATATTGTTACCAAAGCTCTACAATCTCAAAGAAGATTTCTACTTTTTTTTTCTATTCAAAAGAGCTGGTCAATTATTGTAGAAATAGAAAGGTAACTAGTAAAATGAGTATGAGGATTAGGGTGGGGGAGGGTAGGAGCAGAGAGGTGAGGGTAGGCAGAGGGGTAATCAGAAGGTCACATAATTTGATGGGTAAAGGGAGAGTTGGGTAAGGAAATGGGAATGATCCAGTGTGAAAAACAATGTTTACAAACTTTGTAAACCAATCAGTATAAAATACAAATGTTCTTTAAAAAAAAAAAAAGTGCTGGTCAGAGCAAAAGCTTCCAGAAACCACCAATTCCATCTAGCATGTCAGAGTATAATCAACTTAATAAATGGGTAGATTACTGCTGCTTTAGAAATGATCCATGATTTTAATTAAAAATTCTAAAGAAATTAATACATGTATTCTGCACAAGGCAATCCTCTGAAGAACTTGGAAGAAATACTATAATTAAGTAGAGAGAGATAATAGTTATACCAATAAATGATACTTACTACCTTATCAAGAAAGCTCACTCTCAGAATCCAATTCCTCACCCAAACAAAATAAATAATATCCTTCCAAATGGCATTCTCATTTGCAAATATGCATTAATACAGTGCTATTATTGTACTAATGGAACAATACCACATCATTCCAGTAACCAGAAAGAAGAGGAAGAGAAAAGAATGGAATTTCTGCGATTCTATGTAGTACTACTAGCTGAAGAACCAATTCCTGGCAATAACTATAGATAACAGTATCCTAAATTCAAGTGTTTCATTATAACCTCATTTAATTGTTCCACTTTATACTGTGAAAGTCTTGTTTGGTGAAAACAACATTATATATAGATACATACACACACACACATTTTTTTCCATTTCTATGAACCAATACTCCTTAACACTCACATTGAAGGCCTTAATTTCAATTAAATATTTACATGCTTACCATGCTCCCGAAAGGGTTATGGGGCATCACTGAGACCGCATGTGAATCTGTTTTAAGATCTAACAGGAGCCCACATGCATACAGAAAACACTTTGTATTTTGATATATCATAGCTTTAGAAAACATAAATAACCACATACAACATCAATACTAAAGCCCTGAAACCACCAGTCCCTTGCGGGTAATGTCTACTTTATTTGCAACTGTTAGAAGAAACTGTTCCACCAATGCCTTACTCAACTTCATTAGGAGAGTGTATGTGTAAAATTCTTTCTCAGTCTAGGATATTTGAGTATCTGTAAATAATCAGTATTTCATCATTTCCATAAGGAAAATGGTAGCCGAAAGAAAGCTATTCATTATATGATTTTAAAAAGCCAATGATCTGTTTTCAAGGCGTGGGAAATACACTCAGTTGAGTTTCCATTGCCCAAACATCTCAACATGCAGATTTCCTCTGGCTTTCTCAGTTGTAAAAGTACCAGCAGAGCAAAGAACTGAGTACCTTAACTACACATTATCTCTATGCATACCATCCTGGTTCCCGAAAAATATAAGCAAACCGCTATAATGCTCTGGGTATAATACAACAAGGATATATTATATAACTGTCTCCTTGTGGCAATTTGCTACAAGAGCATTTCCAAGAAAGAAAATCCAACGTGCTAAAATTCTTTATAAAAGATGACTGCAAGCCCAGGTATAAAGTTCAGAAGTGTCGACATTTTCCTGATACATACAGTGTTATGAAATACTAAAATATCAAAGCAAAAGGCTAAAGATAAAAATCAAAGCCAAAACAAATCAAATAAATTTCATTATGCAAATCACAGAAGATGTGCAAAAAAGGACGCTAGATCCCACGTAAAAACCATTCCTGAACGGTAATAGCATTAACCGTAGCAGACAGAAAAGTCATGATACTACTTTATAGAATTTCAAATAAAGCCAGCGATAGGAGAATAACAATTGGGATAAATACTGTAAAAACAATCAGCGCATTTGCTCCCTCACCTCTCTCGCTCTACCAGCTGGGTAGTGAAAGCAGCTGCCGCTCCCCGCTTTCCTTCCAAGCCGCTCTTCTCACTAACCCCTCCCTTCTGATCTCCATTCCTCCCCTCCCCTTTACCTTCCACTCCCAGCCCCCAGTTGGCGTATTCAGCAGTCTAAAGAGATTAGTAGGTGGTGCTCGCTGTAGTCCCAGGGCCTCTCTGGAACGCTCTAACGTTTCCTAGGTCCCTGGACCAAAGAAATTAGAGAGGCGACAGTCTGGGGGTATTAGATGCCCTCTCCTACATCCCGGCCCCCTCCCAGAGCAGGGCTGGAGCCTCGGCCGGCCCCCACTCGGCTGCGGGGCCGCGCGTAGCTCTGGGCTGCGCTCCCAGCGGGCAGCGCTACCTGAGCTGTCCATGGTGCTGGCGCGGTCCGGAGGATGCCGGGCGGGACTCCGCGCCGCCGCCGCCGCCGCCCCGGCAGTCACTCTCTGCTTGCCGCCACCCCCGCCGCTCCCCGCACTTAAGTCCCCGTTACTGTCCACCAGCTGCAAGGATTCATAACCATCGTTGCTGGTCTTTTTCCGGTAGCTCCCGAGGAGGCTCATGGGCAAGCTCAGAGAGGAGGAAAACAAATCACCTGGGAGAGGAAGAGGAAGGTGAGAGGTGGAAAGGGATGAAGGAGGAATTAAAAAAAATAAATAAATAAAATTCAAGTGCCCGACATGACGCAAAGAGGAGAGAAAAGAGGGAGCGGCCACGGGAGAGGTGCTTTGCAAGGCGAGGCGAAGCCACCGCCCAGGGTAGAGCGCGGCTGGGGCGCCGAGAGCGAGTGAGAGGAGGGAGGACGCGGCGGCGGGTGCGCGCGCCCTCGGTGCAGCCGCGGAGCCGCCGGCCCTGTGCAGCTCCGGGCCCCCAGCCAGCCACCCTCAAGGCCCGGGGAGTGCCCGGAAGCAATCCTATAGGTGTCGCGCGTAGCCCCGCCGCGCAGCAGGGAAGCTCCAAGCGCGGCCAGCCCGAGGGGAGCGGAAAAAAGACGACCAGAGAGAGTAAGGGAAGGGAGATTCGCGGGGAGTGGTGGCTGAAGGCGGAAAACAGGGCGGGGGAGGGGGGGAGGAGACTACTACTACTACGGGGGAGGGGGCTGTTTCTCGCGCGTAAAGTAGCAAAGGGCTGTGTGTTTCTACACTACAAGCTTTGGGGCTAAGGGGTCTCTTGGTAAGATCCAGACACGCCCAATTCGTATAACTTAGCCTGTATTTGCTAGAAGGTTCTGCATCCAAAACAACACCTCGACAATTATCCTCAAGGAGGGACAGACTTCAAACGCAATAAAGAAACACCGCGTGTTAAAGTGCCAGTTGGCATGTACACCAAAATATAAACAGCAGCAGTATTTTGCACTTTACACAAAATGAAAAAGATCCCTGAATTGGACATCTAGAAGTGGACTATTTTTAACGCTATAAAATAGTTATGTTGTTGTGCACCGTCGAGTCAGAACCCACCCACAGTTGACCCACTGGCGGGTTTTCAGGGGCACTGGAAAGAGGAGACTGCTGATCTTTCTCCAGCCAAACAGCGCAGGCCCAGGCCACCAGGGCTCCCTATAATAAAAGAGGAAGAAGAAAAGTGAGGCTTAGCATCTGTTGATGAATAAATTGGGGAGGGGCCAAGAGTGAGTCTAATGTCATTTCGGATTGGAGTTCTTTTACCTTGGGACCTGAAGAAAGGCCTGTACGACATAGTTTAGCGATATTAAGATGTTTGGGGAAACAAGATTAGTTTTGTTGTTTTGGGTTTGTTGTGGGTTTGGTTTTTTTGTTTTGTTTTTCAGTCTTTTCATCCCACCCTATCTACTTGTCTTTTCCTTCTTTTAAACGAATCATGCACTATTAGAAAATAATTTATTACAAAATTAAGGAAAGCTAAGCTTTAAGGTCTTTTTGTTTGCAAAAACTCCTTCCCAGGACTGGTACATAGCTTTACATCGTAATTTTGTATTCGCATTCTCAAAACTCCAATCTGGCACTAATGGGCTTCTCGAAACCTAGATATAGCTCTTAAGGATCAAAATGCAATTATCAAATGTCCATTTTTGTCTGAAATTATAAGATTTCAAAAGCCTACCTCATTCGCAAATGGAAAAACATGAAAAGAAGATAAATAGCTGTAAGACATCCATTAATAATTGACATGTGGAAAGTTCAAAGTATGATGATGGGTAAATTGGAAGTCATAAAAAAGAAAACAAAAAGCTTAAATATCAGTATCTTAAGCATTGGTGAGCTTACATGGTCCTCTGAATCAAAGGAATCATATGATATACTATGTTAGGAATGACAAATTGAAGAATGGCATCCCATTCATTATCAAAAAGAACATTTTAAGATCTATCTTGATCCCCCCAGTAAGACTAGTAAAATTTAACAGAATAGCAAACAAACAGCAAATGCTGGCAAGGTTGTGGAGAGACCGGAACCCTTATTCACTGTTGGTCGAAGTGTAAAATGGTGCAACTACTGTGGAAAGTGGTGTGGTGCTTTCTCAAAAAGTTGCAAATAGAGATACCATTTGACCCAGCAATTCTACTACTGGGAATATACCCTAAAGATACCATACTACCATCCAAGAAGATATATGCACACCCATGTTAATTGCGGTTTTGTTCACAATAGCAAGGAGATGGAAACAACCTAAATGCCCATCAACAAATAATGGATAGAGAAGCGGTGGATATTCACACAATGGAATACTACGCTGCACTGAAAAACAAGGAACTCATGAAATATTATTCAAAATGGGTGACCCTGAAGGACATTATGCTGAGCGAAATATCTCAGTCACAAAAGGACAAACACTGCATAGGGCCACTGCTGTAGAATGGGACTAGGATTAGGGTAAGCATGAGAAAAACTAGATTAATTATGTATACCGCCTTGAAACCAATGAGGGAGAGAACAGTTTAAAAGCAATATATTTTAGGGCATTATGACTATAATAAGAGTCCAGAATGAAGGTTGCAGAGTGGAGTATACTTAAGGTGGGGGTGGGGGTGCAGGGAGATTGTATACCAATAAAGGAATTTTTCTTCCACTTTTCAAAGAGAAGAGCGAACTGGGGGTCAGGGAGAAAGTGCAACAATGAATGAATGGAAATCCAAAATCTCTGTAAATGTTCATTGAAATTAATTTTAAAAAAATATCCTGAGCAACACTGTCATTGATAGGATAATATCCCTATGCTAACAAAGAAGGTCAGGTTAGTATGACTACTAAGCAAATTTCACACCAACCACTAATATGAAAGATTTTTAGAACAGAAGATATTTTTTAATTAACTTCTGCTGTCAAAAATTGATTAAAGATGCAATCAAGATGAACTGATAATTAACTGCTGATTGAAATGCAAAATTTTCAACAAAACTGTGGCCTTGATAATAGAAATGATGGTAAGGAGAATATAAGAGAACTCTGCAAGACCATTAACTTACTCATCGCAAATCCCTTTTTTCACCAACATAACTGGTGCAAGCTCATATAGATGAAGCTCTGGCAGCCCAGTCCATAGGGAGTTAGGCCTCTCTGGCAGTTCCAATCCACCAGCTTCTCCTTGGGAGAAGGATGGTCAATCTCTCCCCATATGACTTACAACCTCTAAAAACCTGCTGAAGGGTCAGCTGTGAGTTGGCTCTGATTTGATAGCACTAAATAACATATCCCATTTGAATTGAGAGACAATCTCTAGAACAAATTTGACAAATTTAATTCTAATGACCTAAAACAGAAAAAGGAGATGACACAAATAAAGCAAAAAAGACAACTTTTTAGAAGGCCAAAATGCTAAAGCCAATGGAAGAAATGATGATGTAAAAGAACTGAATACAGGGAGCTCTGGTGATCTAGTGGCAAGAAGCTGTGCTGCAATCTCAAAGGTATGTGGCTCAATTCCACCAGATGCCCCCTGGAGAATGGGGGAGCAATCTTCTGTACCAGTAGTATCCGATTTGATGGTACACGACAAAAAAAAAAAAAAAAAAAAAAAAACAAACAAACAAACTTCGATATTAAAAAAAAAAAAAAAAGCATAAAAGAACTGAGTAGAAGACATCTAAGGGTGACTGGGAAAGAGGACAAAGTATAATAAAATTGCAAAAAGCCTGCTGTTAGAAAACCTATAAGGAAGAACATGATCAATGTTTTTCAAGTGTCTTGTACCAAAAAGAACTGGTTGATGTTCAGCCATTTTAGGAGGCAACATATGATCAAGAACTAATGGTACTAAAGGAAGAAGTTCAAACAGCACTGAAACCACTGGCAAAACAAGGCATAAGGAATAGATGGAATACCAATTGTAATTCTTCACCAAACTGATGCAGTGCAACAGGTGTTCACTCCATGCCAAGAAATGTGTAAGATTTGGCCAACTGATCTGTTCCCATTTCAAAGAAAATTGTAAAGGAATGCAGAAATTATCAAACAATATCATAATATTATATGTAAGTAAACTTGTGCTGAAGATAATTTAAAAGTAGATGGCATAATGCACAGACTGGTAACAGCCAGAAACTTGAGCTAAATTCAGAAAACATAGAACAAGGAATACCACTGTTGATATCTGATAGATCTCGGAAGAAAGCATAGAATACCAGAAAGATGTTTACCTCTGTTTTACTGACTGCAAAGACATCTGACACTGTAGATCATAACAAATTACATATAAAATTGAGAGTAATGTGGATTCCAGGAGACTTATTTGTGTTCAAATGGAACTTGTATGCACACCAAGTAGCAGTCAATCAAATAAAACAAAGAGGAGATACTATATGTTTGAATTCATGAAACGTGTACCTTAGGGTTGTACCCTTTCACTGTACTTACTGAGTTTATATGCTCAGCAATAGTGTGGAAAGCAACAATCAGAAGAAGAATGCAGCATCAGGATTGAAAAGAGACTCATTAACAACCTGCAATATGCAGATGACACAACTTAGTTTGTGAAAACAAAGGTGTCTTAAAGAATTTACTCATGCTGATAAAGCATCAACATAAATGAAACAAAAGTCTTCACTACTAGACCACTAAAAAACATCATTACCAACAACAAAAAAACAAAAATACTGAAGCTATCAAGAACTTAATTGTATTTGGAACTACAATGACTATAGAAGCGGCAGTCAAGAAATCAAATGACATACTGTGTTGGGCAAATCTACTGCAAAACACTTCTTCAAATTATTAAAAAACAAAGATTTTGCCTAAGGAACTAAGGTGCAAATGACTTGAGCCATGATCCTTTTGGTCATCTAACAGCCATACAAAAACTGGATAAAGAATAAAAAAGATGAGAATCTCTGAATTATGATGTAGGTAAAGAACACAGAATATATTACGGAATCCCAGAATAAAGAACAAACTGTCTTGAAGGAAGTACACTTGAAAGAAGCTAAGCAATTAACTTAAAAAGTAAAGATTAAAACAAAGTCTTATGTGCTGTGGAGTTAAGAGGAGGAGTCAGTCCCTGGAGAAAGCCATCATGCTCAATAAAGCCAAGGAATAGAAGGGGGGGGAAAGTCCCTCAAACAGATAAATTGAAGCAGAAGCAACAATAGGACCAAATAAAGCAATGGAATGGAGATTAGCAGGACAGGACATTGTTTTATTTAGCCGTGCATGGACTCATTATGGGTCAGAGCTGATTTGATGGTACCTAACAATAAGACTTCATCCTTAGGAGTAGTCTCTGGGTGGCACAA